AGCTGGGCAAGTTACATGTTGCCTCTTCAGTGGTCTGCGCAGGAGTGACAGAGGAACCTTCCTCCTCTGTAACCTTATTCTATTTTCATTGCCCCGCCTCTACTTCCTGTCTGGTTGACCCACCTATACTGCCTGCCTGGCCAATCAGCGTTTTATTAAAATGATTGACAGAATACAGACAATTCTCCCGTATCACTCACAGAGGTTTGTCTGTCTCTGCCTCCTCAGTGCTGGGATTAAAGGTGTATGCTACCACACCTTGAACTCACAGAGATTGAAGAGTCCAAGAATAAGAAAATAAAAATGTAGATTCCACAAATAAAAATGTAGAAATAAAAAATATAAAGTTATAAGTCTAGGAGAATGAGAACAGACTATCAGCAGCTTTCTCAGCAGATCAAGGATCATTCATTCACAGTGAACTATTTTCTCACATGCTTGGGAAGCATAGGTCATTTTACAACTGGCTGTTTTATTTACAAGGCCAGAGTGTCTCTCTACAAATTGATAGCAGTGTCCTGGCCATCCTTGATAAATGACAGATATGAACTGAGTTAACCTTTAGGAGACAGAGATATGTAACCTTTGGGTTAGACACTGTCTCCATTATGGAAAACTGGCACCACCAGAGGAGAGGTATAAGACTCCAGTTTATACCTGGAGGTACCAGGAGATAGTGGACAAATATAATGGTTTAATTGATGAGCTCTGATAATGGAGGTTGTAAAGTGTGGCAGTCAGTATCTGAGTTTTACCTTGAGATAATATGAAAAGCTTTCTGCTATCTCCTAAGTTCTCAGCCTAAGAATCAGTTAATCCTAATTTATTAACCTTCTAGTATTACCAGCAGTCCCTTTCTGACTAATTGCTAAACATATTTCATGATGGCTGCCTAATTACCTATTGACATTAGTACTCACTCCCCTCTTTAGGACCTCCGCTGACCAACCCAAGGGTCAGGGCAAAGTTGTAAAACTTCTTTTTTTCAGAGATAATGCCAGGTGCCCCTACTATAAAAAGTGGGTTCAGAAACCCACCTTTTGCCACAGTCTAACAAACACCATCTCTGGTTGTCGTCTCAGCTAGCTGATAAGCTTCTGTGCCCCGCGGTGTTTTATTTTTATTTTTTATTTTTAAGTTTGCTTCTGGTTTTCCTAGGATCTGGTTTCTGAAATAAAGTTTGCTTCTGGTTTATTAGATTTGGTGGTGTTCTCATCTTTGTGTGACCCCTCTCGACTCAACAAGATCTGTCTGTCTCTGCCTTCCAGGCATTGGGATTAAAGGTGTGTGCTTCCACACCTTGAAGTCCCAGAGGTCAATCTACCTCTGCCCCTTGAAGTCTCAGAGGTCAGTTTACCTCTACCTGCCAAGTGTTGGGATTAAAGGTGTGTACCACCACACCCAACTATTCCCTTTTTTCTTTTTTAATTTTACAAACTTTAACCTTTAGCCTGCATATATTTTTAACACACTGTAAACCATTTAGAAGTTTTCTTTGTCTTTGAATCTTTCTTTACAGTATATCTCTCTTTTTCTGATCACATGAGTCTTTAAGGAGAGGGTTAAAGCCATGACTTTGATGGCTAGATCCAGTCCATTCTTTAACTTTCCAGCCTCATGGCGGAGGTACTGGCTGTAGCCATTTTTATTGCCACAACTCTATGGCATTTCAAGGTCCCTGCCAGCAAGCAAACTGCAGCATTCTGCTCACAGGCCACACTCAGTCAGACTGCCTGCCTGAAAGAGTCAGAGTTTGCACTGGCAGGATGACCCAGAAAAACGGCATTTTAAAATGGCACAGCTTTTTTCCTGCTATGGCTGAAAAGCCTGTGTTCAGCTTTTTGTCAACACCATTTAAGTGTTTCGTGGCAAGACCTCTTAAAAGAGCTGCAGGGCTTTGCAGCTAAAGCTGAGTCAGGAAACCTCTCTTAGATGAGAGCGCTTGCTTGCCTCTAGCAAGTAGAGCAGACTCGAGAAATAGATTTACTCTATTCTTTCCCAAGCTTTCTCAGGCTTTCTGTGGATGCAGTTATCCATGTCTGGGCGCCATTTGTAGAAGGAGCTCCGAGCAAGCCTGCTTTTCGCAGCTCCTTCTACATTTATTTTATTGATTTCAGCTCTGAATTTGATTATTTCCTGTTGTCTAGTCCTCCTGGTTGAGTTTGTTTCTTTTTGTTCTAGAGCCTCCAGGTGGTCTGTTAATTCACTTGTGTAGGATTTTTCCAGCTTCTTTATGCAAGCATTTAGTGCAATGAATTTTCCTTTTAGCACTGCTTTCATTGTGTTCATAGGTTTGGGTATGTTGTACAATCATTTTCATTGATTTTTAGACACTTTTTGAGTTCTCTATTTCTTCCTTGACCCAGTGCTGAATCAGTAGAACATTGTTCAGTTTTCAAGAGTTTGTGATCTTTCTGCAATTAGTCTTGCCATTGAATTCTAATGTTAAGCTGTAATCATTTCATAAGACACAGGAAGTTATTCCAATTTTTTATGTGTTAAGATTTGCTATCTTGCTGAGTGTATGGTTGATTTTAAAGAAGATCCATGAGGTGCTGAGAAATAGGCATATTCTTTTCTGTTTGGTGAAATGTTCTATAGATGTCCAGATAACATAAGTCTGATAAGTTATAACATCTGTTAGTTCCTTTATTTCTCTGTTAAGTTTCTGTCTGGTGGACCTGCCCACTGGTGAGAGTGGGGTGTTGAAGTCTCCCAATACTAGTGTGTGGGACATGATGTGGGTTTTAAGCTTTAGTGATTTTTTTTTAAATAAATGAAGGTACCCTTATATTTGGGGCATGAGACTTTATTTTGATGGATTTTTTTCTGTGATGTATATGAAATGATTTTCTTGATCTCTTTTACTAATTTTAATTTGAAGTCTATTTTGTTAGACATTAGGATAGCTATATCAGCTTGTTTTTTAGGTCCATTTGATTAGAAAATCATTTTCCTATCCTTTATTCTGAGGTAATGTCTGTCTTTGTAGTAAAGTTGTGTTTCTTATATGCAGCAGCAGGATGGATTCTGTTTTCATATCCAGTCTTTTTGTCTCTGTCTTTTAATAGGAAAATTGAGTACATTGATGTTAAGCGATATTAATGACCAGTGATTACTAGTTCCTGTTATTTATTTATTCATTCATTCTTTTATTATTTTCGATGTTGTTTTTCTCTTCTTGGGGATTTGCTGGTGTGGGATTATCTATTGCTTGTATTTTTGAGGATATAGTTAACTTCTCAGGATTGGAATTTCCTTTTAGTACTTTCTATAGGGCTGGATTTGTGGATAGGTATTATTAAAATCTGGTTTTGTCATGGAATATCTTGTTTTTTTTCATCTATGTTGATTGAAAGTTTTGCTGGTTATAGTAGTTTGTACTGGTATCTCTGTTTTCTTAATGTCTGCATAACAGCTGACAAAATCTTCTGGTTTTTAAAGTTTCCCTTGAGAAGTTGGGAGTACTTCTGCTAAGTCTGCCTTTATATGTTACTTGACCTTTTATTCCTTTACAGTTCTTAGCATATTTTATTTATTCTCTGTTTACTGATTTTATTTTATGTGGCAAGAGAACTTTTTTTTTAGCCCAATCTGTTTGATGTTCTCTAAGCTTCTTATATTTTCATATACATGTCCTTCTTTAGATTGAGGAAGTTTTCTTCTATGATTTTGTTGAATATATTTTCTCTGCTTTTCAGCTGAACTTTCTCTTCTTCAGTTCCTTTTATTATTAGATTCAGTCTTTTGTCCCAGATGTCCTAGATATTTTCTATTAACAATTTGTTGGATATGACATTTTCGTTGACAGATAAATCTATTTCCTCTATCATATCATCAACAGCTGAGATTCTGTCTTCTGCTTCTTGTATTCTGTTGTTTATGCTTACTTCTTTAATTCCTGATTATTTACTCAATTTTTCCAGCTTCACATTTTCTTTGGTTTGTGTTTTCTTAATTGCCCGTCTTTCAGTTTTCAAGTCTTGAAATTGTTTGGGCTTTTTTGGTTTTCTTTAAGGGATTGGTTGGTTTCTTTCAGTTGGTTTTCTTTTTTTTTTTTTGTCTTTTTCTCTATTTCTTTAAGGGAATTTTTCATATTCTCTTTCAGGGCCTCAAAAAGTTATTTTTAAGGTTCATGAAGTTATTTGTAAGGTAGTTTTCTGCTTCATTTACATCGAGATGTTCGGGTCTTCCTGTTGTAGAACCACTAGTTTCTGGTGTTGATGCATTGCTCTTTATGTTGTGTGTATTCTTACCCTGTTGTCTACCCATCTATCCTCCAATCAGAACAGGTGGAGCCAAAGTTTCAAGGGGGGCTTTTCCTACAATTGGTACAGTTGGGGGTTGTGGCTCCAATGAATGTTCTTTCAGGTGTAAGCAGGGCAGAGCATTCAGTGATCATTCCTACAGTTGCCTACAGTTGCCTACAGGCCCAAAGCTCAGATAATCACTCCTCTAGGTACAGGCTCCAATGGTTGCTCCTCCATTGCAGGAGGGGCTAAGGCTGAATATCAGGGAGTCAGATAATTTTTAGAGGCCACTGTTGTCAGTGCAGCTGCTGAGGATTCTCCAGGTGGCCTGGCCCATTGCTGTGCTGCTGAGGCTTCTCTCAATGGCCTCAGGAAAAGGTAATACTATTAAGTGGCATTTTGTTTCCTTTCCTTTGGTGAATAAGTATTTGACTGCAAAGTAACGTGAACAATCGAAATGTTATGTAATATAATTACTTAACTTTAAGAATTCATTATTGTTTCTTTATTACCTGTGGGCCTTACAGGACAGAACATTATTAGCTCTGAGCACTAATACATGGGTGTTGGCACCTCTATTTATTTATTCAGTGAAACATCCTTTGTGCCATGATAGCAGAAAGGCATTTCCAAGCTGCTCTAATAAGAAAAGCAGTATGTCTTGGGTGATCATATTTACAAAATTACACACAGTAGGCACTTTTTCCAATTGTGGAAAAGGATAGATTCAAGGAAAACCATCTCACAAAGTAATGTTTAAAGCAGTTTTATATAAAATGGAGTCTGTTTGTTGTTAATTTACATTAAATCTATATTGATGTTTTTTAATAAAATTATATTGAATATCCTTACAGTTTTGCCCCCTTGTGTTCTACAGTGCCCTCAGAGACAAACACTCATCAAGTTTAGGGATAGAGGTAGGAGTCAATGTAGGGATAGGGTTTGGATTATGTTAGGTCCTAAACTGCAGAGGAAAGAGAACACATTCAGAGGGGAAAGGTTTCCTAATGAGGGCACAGAACATCTTCAGAAGGGAAGGACTGCCTGTTGAGAGCATGGAACTCCTGCACAGGACCCAGGACAGCTACAGAGTGGAAGAATGAACTGGTGAAGTCACAAGACAGCTGTTAAAGACCAAGGCCACCTACTGTGGGGTCTGAACACCTGCTGAAGGCACAGAACACATTCAGAGGACCCCAAAACACCTACAAATTAATTTGGTCAAATGTTGAGGCCACAGAACAGCTGTTATGTACAAGGGCCACTTGCAGGTGAGAGTCACATGCTGAGGACACAGGACATCTTCAGAAGAGTAGGGCAACTTGTTGAAGGCCCGGGACACCTGCAGAACAGAGCCACCTACTGAAGGTCAAGTGTTGGGATTAATGAGTCCTGGCCTTCAGCTGCTCTTCCCTCCTTCTAATTAAAGTTACTAGAAGCTGTGCCTAGCTTAGAGGATCAGAGGATGGAATTTTCACCTGTTGGCCATTGACTGCAGTGTATTTAAGCCTACATGGTGCTAATAAAGAGGGGCTTTTGGTATCAGTGTCTAAAGGTCTGGGTGTCATTCTGTCTCTGTGTCTGTGTTCTCAACCTCCAGCCCCTTGCCCGAAGTTCGCGAACTGGGGTCTAGCTCATAGAGCACAGACTGGGGCCGTGGTGCCCCAGTCAAGGCCACCTGCTAAGGACATAAGACACCCACAAAACGACACAGCCGCTTGGTGAGGACATAGAACAGCTACAGAGGTTCCATAACACCTGCAGACCGGCAAGAACAAATAAATGTTGATGGCACAGGATACCTGAATAAAGGAGGGACCAACTGTCCAGGGCAAAGGATGCCTGTTAAGTATCAGAGCCATCTGCAAATGGGCAGGGTCACCTGCTAAAGACACAAAGCATTGAAAAATTACCAGAGCCACCTGTTGGGGGCACAGGACACCTAGAAAAGTCACGGGACATCTGCAGAAGAGTAGGGGTACCTGTTGAGGGGCAGTAGTACCTGCTGAGGGCACAGAACATGTACATCTGCAAAGTGTCAGTACACTTTCACAGGACACATCTTAAGGACCAGGGCCTTCTGCTGAGATTCAGGGCCACCTGTTGAGAGCACACAGCACCTGCTGAAGGGCAAGGGCACCTGCTCAGCCACAGAATATCTGCAGAATATCAGAACCATCTCATAAAGGCATAGGACAGCAGCAGAAGGGCAGGACCACTTTCTGAGAGCACAGGACACCTACTGAGGACACAGAACACCTGTAGAGGGGCAGGGTCACCTCCTGAGCACCATGGTAAACTGTTGACAACACAGGACACTGGCAGAACAACACAGGATTATGGCCACCAGCTAAGGCACAGGACAGCTTCAGAGGACCCAGGACAGCTGCTGATTGGCAGAGTCACCTGTTGAAGGCTGAGATATCCACAGAATAAGAGTCAACTACTGAGGGCAAAGATGTGGGTCACCTGCTCAGGGACAGCATCACCTACTGAGGACCAGGGTCACATACTGAAGGCAGGGTCACCTACTGAGACAGATCCCATGCTGAGGGTCAAGATTACCTATTGAGGGGCAGGGTCACCTACTGATGGGCAAGGTCATCTTCTGAGGAGCAGGGTCACCTACTGAGGTCACACAGTTACACATGACCAAGACTCTACATAACCTTCTTGGTCATTGGCAGTTATGAATGTTCTGGCCTGTGCATGTGTCTTATGTGTGATGTGCAGAGGATGGGTGGAAGGTGGTGACAGGGCAGCCAATTTATGTGGACATCCACCCGCAGACTGTGCCACTGGAGCCCGCACAGCGGGCAGGTGCAGGTGGTGAGCCTGGGTAAGGGCAAAGGCTGTGTGTGGGGATCTGGGGGAGGGGAGTGGTGAGTGCTGGGAGGAGATAACTGGGTGGGAGTGAGAGCAACAGGTGTGGTTGGGTGAAGGGGAGAGGAGAGTGCTCACAGCATTTAGGTGCAAGCAGTGCACCTGGGAAAGTAAGAGATACAGGTGTGGTTAGGGGAGCAGTGCTGGACCTCAGGGCAGTGGGGAGGAGTCCTGGGCTTTGGGTGAAAGCCCTGGGCCCTGTGGGGAGCCCTAGGATGTGGAGCTGCTGACCCCTGGCCCAGGCCCCTGACCCACCTCGTCCATATCCCCTAGCCCTCTGTCCCCTCACCCACCCCGACCGAGGCCACTTGCCCACCCAGTTCGTGCCCCACGACCCTCTAGCCCCCAGGACACCGCATTGGCTGCAAGGGAAAGGGCAGCTAAGTGGTGGCTGCTGGCACCCGCCTGGGCCTCCTGGACTGGGATTCGCAGCAGGTAACATGGGTGGCACAGCTAGACAGACAACAGGTTCAATGATGGCAAGGGCAATCCCACGGGGAGGTTCATGGAAGGTGGGCTCCGAAGGGGCTGTGGTCGCATGGTCATGAAGGTTGTTGAGGGGGGTGCGAAGGACTTTGGAATCCAGGTGCTTCTCCATGGAGACCAAGGATACAGCTGCCCTGCCCCACCCTCTGCCCCTTCCTATCTTTCCCCCTCTTGGGCAAACAACCTGACCCCGGCTCAGACCCCAGGAACACCTGGTTTACTGACTGCAGGTGGATGGGGACTACTCGGTACCCAGTGCGGAGCTTGGTGAATGACAAATGACACAGAGTGTCCTGAGGACATGGGCTGTGATGCTTCAGACTTCCCCCACTCCTGAGTGTCTTCCCTTGACTTGGTGTCTCCCAGTTACTTCAGTATCTCCAAAACTGCCTCTGTGCCTCCCAACTGCCTCAGTGCTCCCCCACTTACTCTGTGTCCCCCCTCACTGCATCCGTATCTCCCAACTACCTTGGTGTCCCCCTTTGCTGCATCTGGTCCCCTAACATACACGGTATGTCCACCCACCTAAGCCCTCCTCACCCCGATGCCACATGCCTACGCCTAAATACCAGGCCTTCCTCACCCTGGCCTGCACAATCCTCCTTTTCACCCTACACAAAGAGAGTCCCCGAAGATGTTCTTGATGCAGTCTATGAGGTACTCATGCAAGTCGCCTGTCATCCCCTCAAAGTTTCTGCAGGCCAGGATGATGACCTCATGGGGGGTGCGACTCCAGCCACTCGGAGATTTTGGTGAGGTTTTCCTAGGGACGTCGAAGGGACACATGATGACATACATTAATCTCCACCCTTTCCCCCAACTACCCCTGGTTCTTCCCCCCACCTCCAGTGCAGTGGAGGGGGGGTATCATGTGTTCAAAGGGCAGATTTCTCTGCAAGCCACCCCGCACATGCGCAATCCACAGATCCAGGTACCGCATCCCTGCTTCCAGCTGCTTCGTCACGTCAAGGGTCTGGGGTAGATGGCAGGTCGGGGTTCATTCCGGGGTGCATAGCACCCCAGGACACCCCAAAACATGGACAGCACCCCGGGACTCACAGTCACCTCCCCCTGTCCATCACCTGGTGCCAGCCCTGCCCCCGGGGCTCTCAGTTTCCTCCCCACAACCTGCCCATTACCAGGACCCTAATCCCGCCACTGGGACTCAGTCCCATTCCGTTCCCCACCCCGCTCCCCTTCGCCCTGTCCATAATCTGTGGGCTCTCCCTCATGCCCCACTCAGCTGCGTGACCTACACCTCCCCCAACTCCCTGCCCTGTCCATCACCAGCGGTTCCTTCCCCATGCCCCACTCACCTGTGTGATTGACCACCTCAACACCAAGAGCCCCATAATTCAGGGCGTGACCCACCCCAGCAGGGTGAAGCAGCCAAGACTCTCCCCAGGAGAATGGGGACTTCCGGCTCAGGCAGTAAGTCATGGTGTCATGGCTCCCTGTGAACATACACATGTCAAAGCCCACATGCGCTTGCACTGGCCCTAAGGACCCCACGGAGTCTCTCTCGGGCTCTTTCCATCTGTCTGTCCTTCTGTCTCTCGGTTCTTCTTCTCCACGACCCCTCTATACCCATGACCACCCACGCAGGTCATAGGGCCTTGTCTCTGACAACCCAGGTTCCCCGTGTACTGCCCACGTCCCCCCAGCTCCTTTCAACCCTCCTAGAAGCTTCATTGGAGGCTACCCCTCCTGTCATGGGGCACAAGCGGGTGATTTCTGCCTCTAGTGGGACCCCCAAGGCTTCCAGACACCCACGCGTGCTCCATTCGTGCTATGGAGGACACGGCAGGACATGTGGGGTGGGGTAAGGAGGGCATGGGTGAGTGATGTCGGGGTGAGAAGGGCATGTGGCTGCCCAGGGCGTAGCCTCGTGGGTGCGTAGGCCCTTAGCTGTCCAATCCTCAGTCTCAATCAACCCCTCCCTCACTCCCAAGCAGGACATCCCCATGCTGTGGCAGCTGTGGGCGCATGGCCAGCAGGTGATTGTGTCCTATGAGGATGAGACCTCTGTGGTCATCACACGGAGCTGTGGCCTGGGATCCCTTACTGATGGGGTAACCAGATGAATTCGCAGGTGCTGCTTTAGTACTTGGAGACCATGAGGAGCTACGGCCGCCCAGGTACCACCTGGGACATAGCTAGGAAGGGGTGGCACTGATGTCACCTGTCAGTCAGATGGGGGTGGGTGTCTGTGAGGATGTCACCTGTCAGTCTTATGGGGTCTGTGGGGATGTCATCTGTCAGTCACATGCTGTGACGTCACCCCACCATTCCCCCTTCCCCTGTAGGCGGCCTGTTTGAGCTGGCATCAATCTCATAAAGTGTTGTAGAAGGTGAGGGCTGCATCTCGCCTCCTGGCTAGCTTAAACCCCGAAATAACCACACAGAAATTGTATTAATTAAATCACTGCCTGGCCCATTAGCACTAGCCTCTTATTGGCTAACTCTCACATCTTGATTAACCCATTTCTATTAAATCTGTGTATCATTCAAGAGCATGCAGGGGCAGAACACAGGTGTTGGGGTGAGAGCTGTGGGAGGTCAGTGTTCAGTCCTCCTGCCCTGGATCAGCCACAGCACCACTTCCAACTGAGACCCTATCCCCCCCCCCTTTCCCCAGTGACACAGACACTCCTCATCCCTTCCTTTCTCCAGTGAAAGACCCTCCCCTCCCCTTCACCAGTGACACAGAACCCCACAGAGCCCACACATCGCCAGCTAAAGAGAGGGAACAAAGTGCAAATCCTGCTTTAATGAGTCAGTCTGGGAAGGAGGAAGGATGAGGACTATATGGGGCCATCCACAAACACCCTCCCACGAACTGAATCCACATCTGGTCCTGGTTGTCACTGAGGGAACAGCTGGGAAAGAGAAAGTGGCGGGACAACACTATGGCCACAATCTGTATCCACACCCCACTCCAGACTGTCACTCAGGAAACAGCTTCCGGAAACGGCCATAGGTGGCTTGGCTGATGATAACGGTCACATGGGCCATGTCAGTCTTGGGCAGCTCCTGCACCTGCTGCACCTTGGCCTCCTTGTACAGCCAGCTGCAGAGAAAGAGACCACCGTGGTGCATGCTGGGAAGTGTTCTGATGTCAGCATGGTGCCTGGTGATGGGTAGAGGGTGGTTGCAAGCTGGGAAGTCAAGTTGACATCAGCACCATGCAGGCTGGGAAGCATGTTGATAGTGGGGCATGTCCCCGGCAGAAAATCAGCTGCATGTATGTATGTGACAACCCACGGCCCAAGTACCCTGTGACTCACCAGAGCTGGGGACCCCCAAGCCGTAAGCAGAGGGTGAGCACCCGCCGGTCAGTGGCCTGCAGAACCGACTCCTCCAGTGTTGCCTTCAGCTTGTCTAGCCCATGGCCCAGGAGTGCAGACACGGCCAGGACATGGTGCCCCGGGGGCCTGTAACTGTGTGGAAGAGGCTCAGTGGGAAAGAGGAACCATGGGGTTATGTGGACATGTGTGGTGTAGATAGGTGAGATGAAGACAGGTATAGTGAGGGCAGGTGAGATGAAAACAGGTGCAGTAAGCACAGCTGCAATGAGCACAGGTAAAATGAGGACAGGTGCAGTGAGCACAGAGCGGTGAGGATAGGTGAGATGAAAACAGGTGCAGTGTGGGCAGGTGAGATGAAAACAGGTGCAGTGAGCACAGCTGAGATGAAAACAGGTGCAGTGAGCACAGCTGCAGTAAGGACAGGTGAGGTGAGGACAGGTGCAGTGAGCACAACTATGGTGAAGACAGGTGAGATGAGGACAGGTGTAGTGAGCACAGCTGCAGTAAGGACAGGTGAGGTGAGGACAGATGCAGTAAGCATAGTTGCGGTGAGGACAGGTGTAGTGAGCACAGCTGCAGTGAGGACAGGTGAGGCAGTGAGCACAGCTGAAGTCAGGTGAGACGAGGTGAGAACAGGTGCAGCAAGGACAGCTGCAGTGAGGGCAGCTGCGGTGAGCAGAGCTTCAGTGAGGACAGATGCAGTGACAAGAGGTGCAGTAAGAACAGGTGCAGCAATGACAGGTGCGGTGAGGACACCATGAAGATTCCTGCAGTGTAAACAGTGACACACATGCCTCCCCCTGCCCAACTTACCCAGGAACCAGATCCACCTTGTTGTGAACTTCCAACATGGAGTTGAAGAGTGCAGGCCTCAGCTGCAGGCCTCGCAGTGTAGACAAGACACTGGCCTTCTGTTGCTCTGTGTTGGGGTGGCTCATGTCCCTCACATGCAGGATAACATCCTGTGAGGAGGAGGAGCAGACAGGGGCCAGAAGTGTCATAAGGAGGGGCGGCAGGGGACAGGAAGTGTCAGCCCGAGGAACACCAAAGACACCAAGCCCATGAGGAGGGTGAATCCCAGGACATTTGGCCTAAGCAAAAGGCGGATCCAAGGATACCCATCCACGCAGACACATGGATACCCACCGAATGCACCACGTCCTCCAGCGTGGTGGAGAACGACTGGATCAGGCTATGTGGCAGCTGTGACAGGAAGCCAATGGTATCCATGTACAGGATGGGCATGCATGATGGCAGCAACCCCGCATGTGCTGTGACATCTAGGGTTGTGAACAGCTGGTCACATGGCTGCATGGTGGCCTCCCCCGTCAGGGCCTTAATGAGCGTGGTTTTCCCTGGAGACACGATGTGAGAATGGGAAACACACACTGCACCCTGGGGACCTTCTCCCACCTGCCCTATGCTGAGATGTGGGTCCTGTCCCCCGGGAAACCTCCCACGTGTGCCCTGTGCTGAGATGTGGGGCTGAACTCCAGGGACCCACCTACGCATAACTGTGCTGAGATGCACTGTTGCAGCCCAGGGACCCTCACCACAGTTGGTATAGCCGATGACAGACACAATGGGAAACTCGCGCCGCAAGCGCTGCTTCCTTAGCACACTCCGCTTGTCCCGCAACCGCTCTAGTGCACGCCTGATCTTCGCCTCCTTCTCCTTCAGTGTCCGCTGGCACAGCTCTGTGGATGACTCTCCTGTGGACATGGATATACAAACTGGTATGTAGGAGCCAGGTGCAGGGGGTCCCAGGGGTGTGAGTATCTGTAGGTGCACCCCACTGCATGTAGCTGGTATTCCCCACTGGACACCATGTAACCAGTGTTACCCATTGTGACAGCTGGGAAACTCTGCAGCTGGTTGGCTGGTGTTCCCACTGCCCTGGACTGTGTTCCCCACTGGAGGCCATGTGGCACCCTCACCTGACCCCATGATGTACCGTGAGCCCCTTCCTTGCTTGTCCAGTCGGGCAGAGCAGCTGCTCAGGGTAGACCTGGGATGGAAATACATGCTTAGTAGGTGTCACTTAGTGAGTTTTGGCACTCGGGTCCTCAGGTCAAGGCCAAGCCCTCCTGGGACACACTGGACAGAATAGGGTGTCAACCACCAAAGGGTGTGCAGCTGCTATCTCTGTATGGAAGGAAATATGGGGGTGAGGAGGGAGAGTGGGGTGATCTGCCTGGCCAGGGGTTGTAATGATTTCAACCACATAAGGCTGATACTTTGGGGTTCTAGGTGTCATTCAGGTGCAAACAAACCCTCAGGCAGAAGTACCTAATGGCCTCTGGGAATGTTAAAGGGCCTCACATGATCCACGTATGACTCAGCTAAGCCCTTGCACTCATGCATGAGCCCCATCATCTGCGTATGACAGCCACGTCAACCACCTTTGTGCATACACTAGGCAGCTTTTAAAAGCTGGATGAGTCATCATCCTCCCTTCTCTGAACACTGACTTCCCAGTCCTGTGCATACTTCCTCTAATAAACTCCTAAGCAGGTTTGTTGAGTGTTCCATTTTTCCTTCTTACTTGTGCCAGGTAATTTCATTGGTGCCATGAGACTCGGGAGGCTCTCCTGCCCCAGCCACTCCGGGTCGGGATCCAGAACAGGGCAGTTTTCTACAACCACGTGTTCCATATGACTGAGCACGGTTTCTCTGCACACGACCAGCTTCAATTGATGAGTTTCCCCCATTCTGGTCAGCTTAACCATTTCTTCAAACCCAAGGAATTGACTGTTGAGCTCCTGGAAATTTTCTGGTGTTCCTAGAAATGGGGTGATAGCCCCCAACCATGGTCTTTAAGGCTACGGTTGAGCCCTTCTCTGACATTCATCTCCGGATTGCTTCCCTTAGCTAAAATCGTGTTTCGACAGGCCAGGGTCGGTCCTCCCATGAATGGGGTCCCAGGGTCCCTCAGATTCTGCTTTCTCTTTTTTTTCTCCAGCTGTGAAAGGCTACTCGGAGCAGCGTCTAGCCTCTCTGTCTTCCGAGTCACTCCAACCGGATCCTGTCAGGCTGTAGCAATCCACCTGTAGGCAGAGGACACTGCCGTACAGGTCCTGTGGTATTCACTGCCAATTTATACCCACCTATGGGGGAGACATTCCATTATAGGCCTTGTGGTGTTTCGCAGTGTTTCACAGGTTTTCATGGTTTCAGCTATGGGTAGCAATCCATCCAAGCCCATCAATCTGAGATCTCCCTGGGGTACCTTTCAGAGGCCCTGAAACCCCAGGCCTTAATGCCCTACTTACAGATTCCCACACTTGTCCATCTTTGTTCAAAAAAATTGCCTCGTTACAATTTAGATAACAATCTAAAGTGGCCGCCTAAGGGCACCTTTGATCCTGATTTTCTATGGGAGCTTTCTAACTACTGTCGGCACAGGCAAATGGAAGGAGTTTCTTTACATCCAAGTCTATCTAAGCTCTAAGCCTAAACCCTCTGTCCTTGCATGTTGTTCACCTGCTCACATGTTCCTGGCTGTGCCGTCTGAGCCAGGAGAACCCTCCACTTCTGCTCTGGACCCAGTTAACAAACCCCCACCTTTTCAACCTCAGCGGGCAACTATCTCCATTCCTTCAACTCCTACCCCCATTCCTCCAGGTCCTTTAGTTCCTACCACCATTCCCTCAGCCTCTACCCCTGTTCCTTCAGCTCTTACTGCCATCCTCCAGCTCCTACCCCCATTCCTTCAGCTACTGCTCTGGACCCTGCTAAGAAATCCACACCTTCCCTACCTCAGCAGACAGATATTTCCACTCCTTTACTTCCCGCTGCCTCGACACCTCCCTTCACTGGCTCTTCAGCTCTCTCTATTTCTCTACAAACTACTCCATCAGTCCCACTGGATCATTCCTCCTCTCATGGTGCCTGGCCACAGCAGCTGCCCAGCTCTGGCACCCACCTTTACCCCTCCTCTCACAAGCTCATGTGCTGCTATGGAACCCAACCCTCACCACGCCAAGCCAGCTGCAGTTCTCCCATTGAGGTGGCCAGCGTAGATGGATTGGTTAGGGTAGACATCCCCTTCTCCCGCTCAGAACTCTCCCATATAGAACAAAAATTATACATCTAATTCTACCACTTTCATAAAACAATTCCAATATATTACCCAGTTTTATAATCTCACCTTTCATGATATCAATATGATCCTATCTAATAACCAACTTCCTGAAGCGCGCAGGAGAGTATGGGAGCAGGCCAGACTTCATGCAGACAAGATTCATCAAACACATGCAACACACCCTCCGGGGGCAGAGGTGGTCCCCGAGCAGGAACCTCACTGGGACTATAACACTCCAGGTGGGATTTTAGCTAGGGACTGGTTTTTGACTTGTCTCCTGGCAGGTCTCTGCAAGCCTGCCCTCAAGTCAGTAAACTATAAGGTCTCAGAGGTCATTCATGATACAAAGGAAAATCTTTCTGCATTTTTGGAACTCTTCACTAAAGTCTTGTTAAAATATACTACCTTAGATCCAGAAACCACGGAAGGCTCATGACTCATATTTTTTCTCATTAAGGCTAAACTTAGATGTTTAGAGAAAGGCCCCTTGACTCTGCAGGCAGAAGTCCTAAGACTAAGAAGTCCTAAAAGTTGGCTTTTAAGGTGTATCATGCAAGAAATGACAAAGCCCGCAATCACTATTACGTGCTACCCACGGCCCTTCAACCAGCTGAGGTAACAGACCATCTAATCCATGCTGTCGGTGCTGTGCGCTTACTCCCGGGGATCAAGAACCACCAGGCCCATGTTTCAAATGTGGTGGAACTGGGCCCGAGCATGCTCTAATCCTCATCTTGGTCCCATGAGACCTTGTCTAAGATGCCATAGAGAAGGTCATTGGGCAGTCGATTGTCCTCATGCACATAGTGGCATGGAAACCTCAAACTCAGAAAATTCCCAAGTTGACCTTCTAGATCTGGCCATGGACGATTGAGGCTGCCCAGGCTCCTTTGACCCGACCACAGCTGTCATCTTTAACAGGGAGCTATGTGTAAATATAACAGTATCAGGATGGCTCATCTCCTTTCTCTTGGACACTGGAGCCACATATTCAGTACTAGGGGAACTCTGGGAGCCTACCTCTCCTTCTAGTTTCCCTATTGTCGGGATAGGGGGACAGTAGACCCCACCACTTAATTTGTTTTTAGGGGTATTTATCTCATTCATTAATTTTTAGTCATGCCAACTTGCCCAGTACCTCTTATGGGAAGAGATTTTTTTTTAGCAAGAGTAGGAGTTTCCACTTCATTTGCTCCTCCCATTCACCTTACCACAGACTCACTAACAGATCCCTCCCTCCTTCTAGCCTCCCAACCTCCCAGCTCCAATGTGTCTTTTTCTCTACCAGCCTCTCAGGTGAACTCCTAAGTCTGGGACACCCAAAACCCCTCTGTTGCTAAACACCATTCCCCCATCATTATCCAATTACAAGATCCTACTAAGTAAATTATCCAAGCTTAGTACCCCCTTTCTCTCCAGAGCCTTAGGGAACTTAAGCCTATTATCTCTGCCCTTCTAAGAAAAAAGGGTACTTCACCCCACCTCTTCTCCCTTTAACACTCCTACACCTGCTGTTAAAAAACCAAATGGAGCCTATTGCCTGGTTCAAGACCTCCACAGTGGTCCCTCTTCATCCTATAGTGCCTATCTCTTACACACTTCTTTCCACTATTCCTAGAGGAACCTCCCACATCTCAGTTCTGGATCTCAAGGATGCTTTTATCTCTATTCTCTCAGCTCTCAATCTCAAAATATCTTTGCCCTCACCTGGACTGACCCTGACACCCACTTCTCCACACAGCTTACCTGGACCCCCCAGAGATTATGGCACAGCCCACACCTGTTTGGTCAGGCTTTAGCATCTGATCTACTCTCACTGTCTCTTCCTAAGTCTAAACTCATACAATATGTAGATGATATTTTACTTTGTTGTACATCCTTGGAGATCAGCAAAACTGATGCCTCCACTCTTAAATTTCCTGCCCAAAATGGGCTATAGAATCTCACTTGCTAAGGCCCAACTGTCTATCTCTCAGGTCACTTAGTTGGGATTAATTATTACCCCAACCCAAAAAGCTATTACCCTAGACAGAAAAAAAAAAAAGCTAATTCAGTTCCTTGCAGTTCCTTCTACAAAAGAAGAGGTTTTTTTTTTTTTTTATCATTCCTAGGAATAGCTGCATGCAGCTATCTAGAAGGAGCGTGGGCTTCTTATGATGAAAGGAGGATCCATAACTAACTCAGGTTACATTATGGACCTGTTAAAAGCCTCCCATCTCCCCAAAGCTGTAGGAATTATTCACTGTCGGTCTCACCAGACTGACAGCTCCACTATTTCCAAGAGAAATAATGGGGCTGACCAAGCAGCTGGAACAGCAGCATTCCAGAGCCCAAACCTACCTCAGTCACCTCAGGGGGTTCATATAATACAGTCCACACTCTCACAGACATCCCCTGAAACCCAGCAAATTCTATTCTACCTACATCCTAATAGCAAAGCTCTGTTTCATTTTGTCAAGGCTCACCTCCAACCCACCTCTGAGGACTTAAGAGTTCTTAAAAGCTATCACTGCCTCTTGTAAAATCTGTCAAAAGTCAGATCCCAAGATCAAATATCGTAGCTTCCCTTTTCCCACCCACCAGGCCAGGGGCTCCCTACCAGAAACTGACTGGTAGCTGGATTTTACTCATATGCCCACAGTCAGAAGAGTTAAATATCTCCTGGTTTTGGTGGACACCACGTCTGGGTGTATTGAAGAATTTCCCACCACTAACAAGAGGACCTAGACAGTTTCCGATGTTCTTCTTCAAGAAATCATCCCTAAGTTTGGAATACCAACCTCTCTTCAGTTGGATAATGGCCCAGAGTTTACTTCCCAGATTTCTCAAACTTTATCTAAGGCTCTTAACACTCCCTGGCATTTTCATATCCCACACCACCCTCAATCTTCAGAGAAGGTAGAATGAACTAACTGTCCCTTTAA